TCCTCTGATTTTTTTTTTTTTCTTTCTTTCTTTCCGGAAATAAAAAAAAGCCTCGGATTTCGGATTGAAGAAGAGAAATTGAATTGAAATATCGCCGTGGAAATTCATTTAGCCATCGAATTGCATTTTACGTTATTACGTTACCGATATTGAACACCGTTGTTCCACGATGCAACTTCGTTTTACAGCTCTCCGCCATTAATAACGTGATCTTTGATGATTTTCCGTGCCACGGTTATAAGGTTCCACTTCCGTGCCGTGATAACCTCCCGATAAGTAGATTCACCCTCGCGATACAACAAAGACATTGATCCAAAACGGGAGGTGTCGGAAGAAAAGCGCGGAGAAAGGAGAACATTTTTTCCCTCTCTCCTTTTTCTTCTTTTTCTTTCTTTTTTTTTTTTTTTTTTTCTATCGACCTTCCCGAGAAAGGTTTTTCCCGTGACCCGAAGAAACGATGAATATAACGGTCCGATTAAGCGAAGTCTTTCTCTCCTATTCAAACAGGAGCACTATTCAATTAACGAAGAAATGGAGTTTTCCTTTTTTCTTTTTTTTTTTTTTTTAATGGAAATATTACAAGATTCATCGCGACGTTTGAAAAAATCATTAAGCGTCAAACTTTTGAAGTTTTTGTTATAATTTCGTGAAATATATATATATATATATTTTTTTTTGATTTTAATTTTTTAAAAATCGTTACCTTCGTTCGCGAATCTTGTCCTTTTCTCGTTTTTTCCTTTCTCTTTCTCTTTCTCCTTTCTTCCTTTTTTCTCCTCGCATTTTTATACATATTTTCTCACGCTGACCCTCCTTTGATCTCTCTCGGGGTCGAGCCGGGCTTTTTCAATAGTATCTATTTTTAAATTATATATTTTTGTTGCCCCTTTGTAACTTTGTAACTTTTTTTTTTTTTTTTTTTTCCCAGCCAGTAGTACGGTAAAAATTTATGTGATTTCATCGTCGACTGGTCTCTTCCAAAAGAAAACATACATGTATATGTACGAGTTATGGTTAATATATAGCAACACGACTATCGATATATTCGTTTCAAGATATTTTAATAGATAGAATTGTCTCGTCTCGACTTTTTTTCTTTTTAACTTTCTAAACCAAGTTCAAGAGGATATTTTCATTTATTATTTCCCCCCCCCCTCTCCCCTCTTCCTTTCTTTCCCCATCTTTATAAAGTATATCTTTATAAATAATAGATCGAATTCGAGTAATCTAACAGCAGGATGACGTCTAAGAAAGTTTTGCGTGGGAAACTCATATTTTCGAAACGGGATCAAGTTTTTATTAAAGCTTTCTTTTACGTCGCTCGACGCGATCTAAAGATATTTTTGCATATTATTGGACGTGCTATTCCTCCCTCGCGCGAAATAATAAAAACAATCGAAAAATTTCACTCGTACAAACTTCACTTATTTCGTCGTCCGAGTTAATAATATTTTTACGTTAAAAAAAAAAAAAAAATTTATCACAGCAACCCGAGAAGCTTGACATTTTCAAATTTCGCCAATAATTTTTAACATCGACGAGAGAGAGAGAAAAAGAGAAAGAGGGAGGGGTAACTTATTTTGCCAGACCGGTTATTTCTGCGAAAAAAAAAAAAGTTTTGCAACTGTTTTTCAATGGAAATTGATTTTTGAAATATATTTTTTGACACGTGTGCATAAAAGATTCGAAGGGAAAATATTGTTCCGGAAGCACTTTCGAATAATCAAGAAATTTAATACGTCGTATCAAAGGGGTTTTAACTAGGATAAAATATTATCTTTCGAGAACACATTGACAGTTGACGACGCTATTACGCGTCTCGAATGGAGTAGTTGGTGAAGTATCAACATGAAACAGTTATTGATCACTTTCAAGAAGAAGGAAATGTTTATTCTTGGAAATTTAAAATCGAACAGTTGATTAGAACAAAAATTTCCCTTCGAGATTCAACACGCGTTGCACGAACACCACCAACCAACGCATAATTCGTATCACAGAGACACGACGTTTGTTTTATTTTATCGTTTCTCTTCCCTCTCTTCTATTCCCGTATTTTCGTTTACATTTTTTTCCCACTAATTAATTTTCCTCTTCGCGGAAAAAACTTTTCATCGAGTCAAAAAAAAAAAGAAAAAGAAATCAGATCAAACCGGTTGGAAAGGAAAAGTTTACAACCGAAAACTTTACAACACGAGCACCGCAGTGCGATCTATTAATTCCACTCGAAACGAAAATATTCCATCTCGAACAGCCGTCATCATCACCCGCCCGCTCCCTGCGAGTCCCATTCCGAGAACGTAATACCCGCAATATACATAAAAATATATCTCAACGAGTCGATTTTACGACGAGAAGGACGGAGAGAGATAAGGCCTTTTACTTTTTTTTACTTTCGATCGAGGTCTCGTAACATCTGCCTAACCGCGTATCGTGGTAATTTATTCGATCTACGGCCTGTAAAGCCACGTATCCCTCCTCCTCCTTCTGTCATTCGTAGGAATATTCGGAAAGCGATACTGAGGGGTTCGAAAATTTCTCTCTCCTTGCCCCTTCCCTTCTCCTTACGAAAGTTTTTGCGGGAGTTATCGATAAAAATTTGGACGAGGGAGGTTGGGCGAGACGTGGTAAAACTTGGCTATTAGTTCGAAATGTTCGCGTTTAAAAATTTCAAAGGAAGGAAAATTTATTTTTCCCCTTCGCGTGAAATATCTTCTCTTCGAAATAAAATATAATCTTGGGGATATAAAATGGGGAAAATTTAACGATGATTACAAATCAAGTTAATTTATTCGATAATTTATTGTTCAAAACGTAATTTTGTAATAATTGGAAATAATTGTAATTACGTATGGATCTATGTTATTCGTAGCATTTTAACGAGTAATTAAAGCAACTTTGTTCGAAATTTTTAACTGGTTACTATTTTTCAATCGCATTATTAAAACGAGTTGATTCAATTTTCGACGAATAAAATCAGGATAGGGACAAGAACGAGATTAAAAAATGGACGAAAATTACTATAGCTTAAAATCGTTAATTGGACGTGGGAAGAGGGCGGGATAAAGAGGCGTAGGAGACGTCTTTCTTCCAGCGAGGAAAGAAGGTGGATAAGGAAGGTGGATAAGAGCGTGGAAAGGGAGAGATGGCGTGGAATTTCAAGCATGGCGCTCATAATGGTCCGGGCCACATATTAGTTTATCTCGTGATGATCCCAACGAACGAGGTCCAACTTCTTGGCAATTCTACGACGCTGCGTGCTGCTCGCCTAGGAATGCTCGTCCTCGCGTCCACGTTCTCCAACGTCGAGAAAGAAATTGCGCGCCAATTTCGAAATTAATTATCGAGATCGGCGATTGGATAACGATTGGAATGAGCGTCGATGGAAATTGATACGCGTCGTTCCAAGATGCTTCGATATTTTGATGATCGATATAATGGTTCGATATTAAGTTGAAGAAATTAGATCGATTTCGTACTTGAACACTTGATACGAGATGTTATACATTTTTTTTTTTTTTTTTGTTATCGAAAACTTTTATTATTCCTTTATTCCGTATTTTAACAGTTTTTTTTTAACAGTTTTTTTTTTAACAGTTGAAAAACATTTGTTCATTTCGAAAACACGATCGTCAATACGGAATTATAAAGCCATTGTGTTACCATTGTGTTGCCACCTTTTCATACAAATTGTTTTTATTTCTCCTCTCTTTTTTCTCTCTCTCTCTCTCTCTCTCTCGCGTGGAACGCGTCCCCTCTCGTGTCATGAAACCTGACACTTTTCGCAATTGATCGTTGTATAAACGATTTCATCTCTATCAATCGAATCGCATATCCTTATTTAGACATAGCGCGATAACGATCCGATCTCCTCCGTGAATGGAAATCCAACTTAGAAGAAGATATCGAAAGCTTTCCTTTCCTCGTACAAACTGATCCTTTCTTATATTTTTATCAAAGAGAGAAACTTTTATTCTTTTCACCGATTCCACGCAAATATCTCTTCTTCCATTATATTTCTAACGTTATGAGATCTTTTTACGATCAAATTAAATTCGAAAATGTTGCGGATATATTATAATAAAAAAACTGGCGAGGAAGGAATAATTTTTTTTTTTTTCTTTTTCTTTTCGAATCGTTTTGGAATAACCAAGGTTGGGATATCGATGAAAAATATCGATATCGAACGTTATTCCAAAGCCGCTTTAATATCCGTTCAACGTCGCAGGAAGAAAGTTTCAAAGAAAGCTTGGCTGGCTACTACGAATTTCGACCGTTTCTTCGATTCCGATTTCCAATATATTCAACTCGTTCATACATCGAATTCTTCCATTCTTTCCTATACCCGGATCTGGACCAATTTCAGATGTGCCGTTTCTTCCTTTCTTCTCGTGAACTCGCTTTATAATATTCGAATACACTCCCTCCTTAAACGCACTTTAACACGTTCTCGAGAGATTCTCACGCATGCTAATCTACGCAATCCGTTTTAAATATTTCAAAATGTCGATTACTCCCTTCCTCCCTCTCTTTGGTTTTTCGAGAAAATTAAAACGTAAATTTCGTTTCGTTTCCACCCGTGAATTTTTCATTTTTCGCGCGAGCTCGTACGAACCTTTTACCTTCACGTGATTATTTTATATACAACAGCGTACGAAATATCGCGTTACTGTAAATTCGATGCGTTTTTGAAACGCGAGTACTCGCGCCGATTCGATTTATAACCGATTATTACAATTCCAGATAATTCTGAATTGTTCAACTATTTAAAATCGATCTCACTCGATTCATTAAAAATTTTATATTATTATCCAGTTTGAAGTTAAATATAAGTATTTAATATTTATAAGTAATATTTATATAAGTTAAATATAAGTTATATTTTAACATTTTAACATCGTGTTTCGAAATTTTATGTTATCATCATAAGTTCGAAGAAGCGAAACAGATATCGCTTTAACGTTAAAATTTTAAATAAATTGGAAATAAATTGTGGGTTTCAGATAATTTGTCGAGGGAAATAGTGCGATGATACGCTCCGGCGTGAAGCAAATCCAAGTTGACGGGAATGCGTTTCTGGGAAAAGGGTGAGCCGAGCGGCTCCACGTTCTACCCATTTTCGTTGGATCGGCCTTGTTTTCGGTGTATCGGCAATTTATCGTGAAACGCAGAGGCGAGGAGACACGGCAGGGAGCAACACGATCGGGCAACAACTTTATGCCGGTAACCGGAGCCGGAAACCAGAAGGAAGGCGCAACAGGGAGCTAAGAGCACTTCCGTTTCTCCCAACCGAGGTCAGGCTATCCAACTTTTATCAGGATGTTGCCTGCCAACGTGGTATCCTTCGTCAAAAAGGTAACTTTTTTTCTTCTTTTTATTCTTCCTCTTAAAGATATAGAAGTAACTTTATATTCACAGAGTATCAATTGTCAAGATGATGGTAATAAATTATGAATCAAACTTTTACAAAATATCAATTTACAAAATATCAATTTTCAAGATCATCGTAACGAACTGTGAACCAAGCTTCTTTTTTTTCTAAAAGATATAAAAGTAACTTTATATTCGAATATTTAGAAAATATCAATTTTCAAGATCATCGTAACGAACTGTGAACCAAACTTTTTTTTTTCTAAAAGATATAGAAATAACTATGAACCAAGCTTCTTTTTTTTCTAAAAGATATAAAAGTAACTTTATATTCGAATATTTACAAAATATCAATTGTCAAGATCATCGTAACGAACTGTGAACCAAACTTTTTTTTTTCTAAAAGATATAAAAGTAACTTTATATTCGAATATTTAGAAAATATCAATTGTCAAGATCATCGTAACAAACTGTGAACCAAACTTCTTTTTTTAATTGATAATTTAATTAATCAATTAATTTGTATCAATTCTAAGTTTAATTCTTAGATTCTTAAATTCTAAATGAAACATTTGATCAACTGAATTTGTCCAATCTAATTAAAACTAATCTAAACTAACGCTTCGAAGAGACGTTTCATAATAAAAATAACCGTCCAATTTAACGAAACAAAATATTCAGTCTCGTTCATAAAGTAAGGAAGGGGAAAAAAAAAGAAAAATAAGAAGCGAGTTTTATTCCCCTTTTTTTATTCTCCTTTTCCCCTCCTCCTCTCGGGGGAATAAAATATATTTATCGACGCGATTTATACAGAGAGCGTTATCGAGAAGAAATCCAGAAGAGTGTATCGTGAAACATACAGAGAATACATTTTCACACGAGCGAACGCTTGGCTAAGTTTCATCCGTAGCGCGTTTCTCGCCCCCTTTTTTAGAACGAGATTTACACCGTGGAAGAGAGGGATGGAGGGGTAAGATGGTTTCTTTGTATCGTTGGAATCTAGACTCGTGCGAGTTAAGAGCGAGCGGCGATGAATCCTATCCCCTCCCCATGGTTTGTAGCCAACCCCTTGGAGGGATTAAACGGCATTGTTTCGAGATCGTGTCAAGACGTTGGCGATCGAGTCGAGGGGGGGATTAAATTTCTTGAAGGGTTGGGAACATCCGCCTTCCGGGGGATGCTCTTCTTTAACATCCAGTTTGTCGCTTGTCGGATTTCGTTACTTGCCGGAGGCGGAATCGAGATCTGTATTTTTCAGATCGTGTGGAATATATATATCTTGTGGAGGGAAAAATTGTAACACACACATGATCCATTTTGATGAAATCGAGAAAGAGTCGAAGAGAAATTGTTCGAGCATTATTTGTTCGAATTATTGTTTGGAATCGAGATCTCTATTTTAGATCCGTTTAATCGTATGGAATATATATATATATATCTCTTGAAAGTGGAAAGAAAAATTGTAACATACACATGATCCATTTTAACGAAATCGAGAAAGAGTCGAAGAGAAATTGTTCGAATTATTGTTTGGAATCGAGATCTCTATTTTAGATCTGTTTAGTCGTGTGGAATATATATATATATTTTGAATGTGAAGAAAAAAATTGTAATACACACATGATCCATTTTAACGAAATCGAGAAAGAGTCGAAAAGAAATTATTCGAGCAATATTTGTCCGAATTATTGTTTGGAATCGAGATCTCTATTTTAGATCCGTTTAATCGTGTGGAATATATATATATATATATATATATATATCGAAATCGAGAAAGAATCGAAGAGAAATTGTTCGAGCATTATTTGTTCGAATTATTGTTTGGAATCGAGATCTCTATTTTAGATCTGTTTAGTCGTGTAGAATATATATATATTTTGAATGTGGAGGGAAAAATTGTAACACACATGATCCATTTTAATGAAATCGAGAAAGAGTTGAAGAGAAATTGTTTGAACATTATTTATTCGGAATCGAGATGTTGTCTCCTCTATTTTAGATCCGTTTAATCGTGTAGAATATATACATATTTTGAATGTGAAGCAAAAAATTGTAATACACACATGATCCATTTTAACGAAATCGAGAAAGAGTCGAAAAGAAATTGTTCGAGCATTATTTGTTCGAATTATTGTTCGGAATGGAGATCTGTCATGTGGAATATATATATATCTTGAATGTGGAAGGAAAAATTGTAGTACACACATGATCCATTTTAAATCGAGAAAGAGTGGAAAAAAAAAATTGTAAATTGTTTGAACATTGTTTTAACGACTCGCGTCGTTAGAAAATTTAAAAGGAATTTGATGTAAAAGTTTGTGATATATAGGGTATAATGGAAAGGAAAAGTTTGATTGAAAAAAATAATAAAATAATCGATTTCATAACTACGTTATATAACTACGTTATTGTATCACGTGTAACAGGTTTTACGAAGTCGAAAAGCGGATTAGATGAATAAATCGAAACATTTTGCGTCCGCGGGATGAATAAAATATCAGGAATGGAATAAATATCGTATATTTAATAACATGGGAGTTGGATCGATCGTTTGACTCGCATGCACGAGTAACCTCTAAAGTATCGACGTACAAAATATAAATTTTATATACGAGCTATATTTATATATATTTGACTCTAACTAAAAAATTTTATATTTAAAAAAAAAAGTAAGAAAGTATCTCTTAAAATATTTCCCTTAAAAAAAAAAAAAGAAACATTTATAACTGTAAATATTTTGAAACACATTGAAACGTAAAATGATGTAACTTTAAATTACGAATAACGCGTGCAAATAAATAATAAACCATAAATATTTCTCGTACGTACTCGCATTAATATCAAGATATTTTAAAAATATACGTGAATCAATTGTTTAGAGAGATTTAATGGCGATTAAGTTTGTTAAATTTCGTTTCGTTTCAGAACGAATGAACTACGATAAAGGATTTTGGTCAAAACGAGTGAATGCAATCGCAACAAAAGCGCGGGGCTTTGCGTTGGAGACTGATATCCGGGCTTGTTTGATCTAAAACGCAGATTTTCGAGTTGAATTTCAACAAAACAATGGCCCGCTTCACCAAAGATTCATGAGGGTTTCCATGAATTTGTCACGAGTCAGACACGAATCCGAGTTTCACGCGATTTCCATTCGCATTTTCTCCATTTTCTGACAACGAGAAAAAGAAGGAAGCGATCCATCGTTCGACTCGTCTCATTTATTATATACGGAGATAATTATAGAAAGATTTATGGAAAGCAAATTCGCGGAAAGAAAAAGTTTTTCTACGAGAGAGAGAGAGAGAGAAAGAAAAAGAGAATCTCGAAGGATAAGGCGAAGCATTTGTCACACTTGTTTCGTTCTTTTTAAAAGCGCGGATGACGAACCTTTCGAACTATTCCTTCCAAATTAAGAATTAATTTAATTCTTAATATTCTTAATTTAATAAAATTCGTCACATCGTTTGAGTTTACACTTAATCGCAATTTTTATTGTCGATTTGGTTTATTTATCGAATAGATATCGAACTACTACATTCGAAAAAACTGATTTCGATTCTTAAAAAGAAAAAAAACTCTAACTCTGAGTCTACTCCAACGTATTCAAACCTTACTTTCTACTAAATGAACTATCTTTTCGTTCATTTTAACGATTTCTCGTGCGTGCTCTCTCCATCGACGGCACATCGATGAACGACATACTCGATAACAAAGAAATATCGATACCGTCTGCTACCATTGTCGAAGCATTGTTCGGGGTAGCGCGGGATTACCACCATTCATGGAATCGTTTCACTCGGCGTGCACAGCGCGGGGAAGCGCGCCAATCCGTGTTATTCGACACACGCGCTTCAAACAGAGGTCCTACATTTCCTCCATCCTCGGTGCACCCATTTTCGATAGTATTTTACACCCATAAAGATCGAGGAATTATACGGCTCACGCTCGAAAAAATCCATCCATCCATACGTCTGCTGCTACATCGTCGAAATCACTGTTCAATAGAGGTAATAGAGTTACGTAATTTAGTACACTGTTCGCGATATCGGAGAACGCGTTAAAACGAAAAAAGAATTATTTTCGATTGGAATCGTTTAGCGCACAAACGCGTGTCATTCGACACACGCGTTTCTTTCCACATCTTTCTCCATCCTCGGTACACCCATTTTTGGTAATATTTTTACGGTACACAAGGAAAGGATCGACCAATTATACGGCTCACGCTCGAAAAAATCCATCCATACGTTTGCTGCATCGTCGAAATTACTGTAACAGAGTTATGTAATTTAGTATACTTGTTCGCGACATCGGAGAAACGCAAAGAAACGCATGTTATTCGACACACGCGCTTCCAACCTACGTACAGAGATCTTATTACATACTTTTTTCATTGTTGTTTCGATAATACAGCGATATCGACAATGATCGACGAATTACACATTGCAGTTCGTATACTCGAAGAAATCCATCCATACGTCTATTGCACTGTCTCGAAGCGCTGTTCGATGATAGAGAAGTTACCCCGTGTTACTTTAATACATTCTTCGATATGAGAGTTAAGGAAAAAAGGAAAATGAAGTGAGGACTGGTACAGAGGGAAGAGAAACGCGCCAAATGTTATTCGACACGCGCGCTTCTAATCTACGTACAGAGATCCTACATCCTTTCTCCATCGATAATATTTTTACATTGTTTGCGACATCAGAGGTTGGTCATCATCGAGGACGCGTTAAAAGGAAAAAAGAAAGAAAGAAAGAAAGGAGTGTAGATTGGTATGCAAATTTTCGATTGGAATCGTCGCGCCATTCGACGGAATGGTTTACATTCATTACAGGAAAAAGAAACGCACCAATGCGTGTTATTCGACATGCGCGTTTCCAATGTTCGTACACAGATCCTATGTACTTTCTTCTATGTTTTTCCAACAATGCTTGGATTAGTATTTTTACGATACACTCTTCGCGACATCAGAAGTTGACTATCAT